CCTTTAAATCTGTAAAAAAAGTCCGCCTATATAGGAAAGTGAGATACTTTTTTGTAGATCTGGATATTTAAACAGCCTTGTTAGCTGGCTAACAAGAAGGTAAAAATCTCTCCATGTCCTATTATTTCCAACAGTTTTAATCTTTGTTGTAGTTTATCTCGTTATTAGCTTTCATATTTGTCTTTCACAGTACATTGATACATTTATCTTCCAATTATATGTTGTGGTCCTGCATCTTATTTTTTCTGTTACATACTACGCGACAACTGAACTAGGAAAAGTACATTTGGAGCGGTTTCTAATGTGTTTCCCAATGAAGAAAGACATTAACTTGGTAATATTCCTTTTTCATACCCTACTAATTCAACTCGTGCTAACACATGTCGAGGAATTGACGACACACTGATCTTTTGGAAAGGGTTGCTAGGACAAGACTACATACATGCAAGTGAGAGTGTGCTTAATGAAATCTTCATCGCAAAGGTGAAGGCGTTAGTCCCCGCTGTGGTTATTGAAGCTCCACCAAACACGGTTTTCCTAGACATTGATGATTGTGGTGGCTCATCACCTGGCTCGTCATATGATATTGGATTTTGGATGGTTGTGAAATCATGCCACAGAACAATATGGTTGTGCTTGATGAGGATTTTGATCTATAGGAAGAATCTGACTGTTTCAACACACCTGCACCAAGGCCCGTTAGTAGAGGTAATATTCTTATATTTTCCTTACTCACCCATAAGTACGGGTAAATTGGTAACATTTCGGCTAACTAGCATTATTTATGGTAATTGTAGTGCTCGTCCGGTTAAGGTAGATAGGGGTAAGGGAATAATGTTGGAGGATGAAGGACAGTGCATGCCATTGTTGGGCCTTACAATGGGTCCAGTATGTATCGGTATGGCCGGAAAGGGAAAAGTAGATACTATGGACAGCGACCTAGCTGGCAGCTCATCTGATGAAAACATCTTCCTTGGTGCGTGTAGGATCTAAACAGTTTAACCAGTTAAAATGTAAAATATTAATCGCTGGCTTTTGGTTCATGAAAAAACTGATGCTTGTGTGTAATATGCGTTTGTATTTTTTGTTTAATGGTTATTAATGATAAATTAATGTTTAAAAAAATGAAGGTGATGGCACTCTTAATCAAAATGATCTATTTTTCGAAATGATATTCAAGGATCGCGAAGCATTCAAACTACATATGGTGTTGTG